AAACATTTGAAAGTGCACAGTTAAGAAAGACAAATGTGACATTTGTTTTAAGCAGTTTTCTTTCTAAGTATTTAATATGAAACTTTAAATGAGATTACACACTAAAGAAACTTCTTTTAAAAAATTTGACTCAGTCTATGATTTGAAACAACAAAGGAAGCAAACCTTACATTCTTTTTGTTAATTTGATTCATACGTTTTGCATATTCTGCTATTACTAATAATCTATCTTAATGATCCTCACTTCTTAATTTTATTGGCGTTCTAGGTGTCTTTTTACTTTGAAAAGATTCCACTTCGACTTCATTTCCATTTCTTTTTCTCTTACTACCGGTATCGGTTGTTGCGTCACTGTACATTTTACTTTCTGACTCTACCGCCAATAGGTATTATTCTACACCGTGACACCACCGAGAAGGTCAAGGTAATTGAATTTATGTATTTCAATATTGTTACTTCGTACTTAGGTATTTCTTTTTGACAAACATTTTTTGGGACGGAAAGGGAGTACTCTAAACAGAAATATATTAATAAATGACAACATAATTGATCGACTACTTCTTCTTCTTTTGGTGTCTATCCTCTGTGGATGTCGGCAATCATGCGATGCGATGAGCATGCGGCGATAGCACCAAATTTCGAAGGCCTCTAATCGTTTGGATGTTGCCTTCGTCAAGGTCCAAGCGTCGACTTCATATAAAAGGGTGGAAAATACATAGCATCTCAAGACTCGTGTTCTTATATCAATATTGAGGTGCATATTACATAAAATCTTCCTGAGGCGATTGAAGACAGCTCTCGCCTTTTCTATACATCTTATTTCCTGTGAGTGCTCCCATTTCTTACTTAGGCTGCATCCAGGGTATGTAATTTTGTCGACTATTTTCAAGGGTTCATTATTAGCTGTGAATTGGTGCTGTATTACGTCGTTTTTACTTACTCCAAGAATTTTAGTCTTCTTGCAGTTTAATTTCATGTCGTATCTGTTACAGGCTTCCACTACACGGTCTATTAATGTTTGCAGATCCTCCGCATTATCAGCAATCAAAACGATCGTCCGCATTCTTAAATTGTTTATGATTTTACTATTGATTTTTATACCTTCGCTTAAACCATCAATAGCTTCCCTTTATAGCATTTCCGAGTAAGTATTGAACGACGTCGGTGACAAAATGCACTACTGACGTACTCCCCGTTTTATCGTGAATTCTTGTGAGGTTTGGTTGTCTACTCGTACATTGACCCTTTGCTGTAAGTATAAATTTTTAATTAGGCGTAAATCTTTGTCATCTATACTAGATTCTTTCAGTATCTGTAATAATTTTTTATGTTGCACCTTGTCAAATGCTTTTTCAAAGTCTACAAAGCATGTGTAGACTTCGCAATTTACGTCTCGAGCTCTTTGTATCAATACTTGTATGGAAAATAGGGCCTCTCTCATTCCCAGTCCGCTTCTAAACCCAAACTGAACACCGCTAATGTTTTCTTCAAGTTTTCTATATATACGAAACTGAATAACAGAAAGAAGGATTTTGAATGCATGGCTCATTAAGCTTATAATTCTGCAATCAGAGCATCTGGTGGCATTTGCCCATTTGGGGACAGGGATGAAAGTGAAAACTAGTCAATCTGTAGGAAGTTCTGCAGTTTCATAGATTTTGTTGAGTAGACTCGTTGAGAGTTTAAGTTGGTTGTTTTCAAATAGTTTCAATATTTCAGCTTGTATGTTATCAAGTCCAGGTGCTTTGTTGGTTTTTATTCTTTTTATTGCATATGTTACTAAACTGAGCGTTTTTTCGGGTTCTGAACATCCAGAAACACTACAGTCTCTTGCTTTTCTTTGAATAATTCTTCCATGTATTGCCTCCATCTCTCAAGTATTCTCTCATTTTCGTAGAGCAGATTGTTGTGCTCGTCTATTATTAAGTTATGTCTTCGTGATCCGTTTCCTCCCGTTAAATTTTTGGTCTTTTTATGTAGGTTAAAAATGTCATCCTTTTGTTGTAGGGATTCTATTTCTATGCATTCGTCGTGTTGCCATGATTCTTTTGCTTCTTTAATCTTTTCTTAATGATTCTGTTTATTTCTTTGTACCTTTCCTTATTGTTATTTCTGTGTTTTCTTCGTTCTTCCATTACCTCTAATATTTCTTGTTTCCTCCACGGCTGTTTCTTTATATTGTTTTCTGATTAAGTTTATTATCTATAGGTTATTCCACGAATATACGATTGTTTTGGTTTACTGCGACAAAGAATATTTTACTGTGCAAGTAGAAGTATGAAGGTAAATTGGTCCAATCATTATTACAATAAAAAGGGTCTACTAGTATGATATCTAAACTAAAATTATTTCAGTTAAAATCTACAAATTAATACAATGACGTCTATGAAGCCAAATGTGTTCATCAGACATTTGGGTAAGCTTTCCGTGAAATGTAAACACCAAATGGGCGTGCCTGGTTTATATGATAATACACTATTTTATTACTTTATTAGGTATTACAACTGTAATAAAAAGAAATATGCTATAGGTTTGTTCCAACACAACGAAAAACCGTCACGTAAGGGTTACGCTCCTGCGCACTAAACAAAATAGTTCCAACAAAGATATGATCGTTCATCTCATCGTCCTTCCGACCGTTCCCACAAAAATTGTGATCGCCCAGTGACGGTTTCGTGGCGATAATTTCAGTAATCTAACAAACGCATGTACTGGGCCCTGATTCTAATTGAGATTTCGACTGAAAACATGTTGAAATCAATATGGCGACGTCGAAATGCGACTTTGCGACTGTGTTGCCAATATCCGGATAATTTTCGGATTGAACAATTTTTTGGATAATTTCGGATAATTCAAGGGTCTATCGACTTTTCATTTTTAAATATAATTAAAAATTTTATAAGCTTCAATAGCTAAATTTGCGAATGTACAATGTACATAGTCCTGCAAATTCTACTCTCATATAATCGAAGATGATGGAACTTATGAACTATTTCAGTGCCCTCTGTTGATAAATAGTATAGTTTTGGTCGACTGTTTTACTGTACAAAAATCCAGGGATCTTTGAAATTGACAAAACAAAAATCGAATTTCATTTCAATCCAAGTCTAAAAGGTCGAAGTAGTCAAGTAATTCCCCTGTGGCACTTTCTCTATACTTTTGCCGATTATGTATGTAAACAATAAGTATTTTTAATATAGGTTTTAAGAGTTAATCATTTGTTAGTTTTCTGTATCTATGCATTATTTGTTGTTTTTTGCTTAAATAAATATATTTCTATCAAACTAAACCTGTTTTCTTGCCATCATTTGTCATATTAATTGTCATTTGTCATCTGCCAATGTGTCAACTGTCAATGTCAATTATGCCATTTAATTAGTCTTCTTTTTCGATTTTTATGAGTTCGGATATTTGGTTTCAACATTCGGATAATTTCGGATATTTTGCTCCCAACGTTCGGATAATTTCTAGATTTGTCTTGGCAACACTGCTTTGCGAGCCTAGTGGATTTCAGCTGAACTAACCAAAGGACGTCACTAAATTTCGATTTATCGAAATTAATTTCAACTTCAAGAAAGTGGTTGAAATTTAATTTCGAGTCGAAATTAATCTGACATGACTAGCGGGACTGGGAGAAGCGAGGTTAGGTTTAGGTTCAGTTTAGGCGGTGTTGTTTTGTTTGATTGTTGCAACGAAAACTGAGGCAAAAAGTATTAATATGGCTGTGTATTATGTTATTAATGTATTGTTTTTAGTAATACTAATACTAAGCTGCAGTAAATTAAAAATATAATATAACTACTAAGTAAAAAGCCATCATAATTTCTTTTTGGTCCACAGACAATTTAGTGCCACCATCACCAACAGCCTCCATCCATTTTCTTTCAATTCAAAATATAATCATTAAGAATGGCCACTAAAAATTTAACAACTCAAACAAGAAACAAAAATCGTAAAATGTAAACAAAACAAACATTTAACAAACGTGCAGCCAATAAACAAGACGGCCAACCCAAATTCTGAGCAGTGTCAAAATGATAAAGTAAATGTCCCTACTTTTAACTAAAATCGAAATGAATGAGAATCGCTAGCGATTGCGACTGTCATGGCGTAGTCGCTTTTAAATTTCGACATCGAAATTGAAGAATTCTTTGACAGAATGAAATATTGGTGTTTCGCAGTGTTGAAATTTACATTACAAATGAAATATACGCAATTAAAAGCAATGAGATATTTAAAAACTAATATTTAACGATTACGAAAAAAAGAAAAAGTAAATAGTTTTAAAACAGTTTTTAACAGTAAATAGTAAAATGTCAGTAAAAATAATAAAATTTAAAAGGCATCTGTTGCAATCTGGCAGCTGGTGGTTTGAGGGTTCTGACTCTATTGCCAAATCTATCCGCTAACCTACCAAAGGGCAATTGCCCAAAAAAATTTTCTGATAATTTATTACAACTAATATCAAATGAAACAAATATTACTTCATTAATATTTTATATAAGGTATAAAATTGCAGAATCCATAAAATAACATGATAAAAATTTATCTTTTAAAAGCTTCATCTCTTTGTATTTGAAGCATATAACATATACGTTATAATAACATGGCAACACTGCCAACGCAATATTTCGTTCTGTGAAAGTTAATTGACAGCTAATTTGAGGCGATCTTCAATGGCACCAAATGTGAAAATCGTCCTTACTTCATTAATATTTTGTATAATGTATAAAATTGCAGAATCCATAAAATAATATGATAAAAATGTACCTTTTAAAAGCTTTATCTCTTTTTATTTGAAGCATATAACATATACATTATAAGAACATGGCAACACTGCCAACGCAATCTTTCGTTCTGTGAAACTTAATTGACAGCTAATTTGAGGCTATCTTCAATGGGACCAAATGTGAAAGAAAATCGTCCGTCGTCTGTAATGGCGTATCGTCGTTTGCTTTTTTTATGGTGTTTTGCTTTTTTGGGTGTAAAATGGTAATAGTATGGAAGTAAAACAAGAAATTAGCGAGGAAACGTGTAACTTAGAAAGAATAGGGTATAATGAATTTTATAATGGTCTTTTGGATGGCTTTAAATATGAAATTCAGGAGGAATCCAATAGGCATACTACACATGACACATATAATTATTTAGACTTTAAGACATGTCCCATAAATATTGAAATAAAACAACATGGGAATAACATTAACTCTTTTGAATGCCAAAAAACTGAAAAAGGTTAGTAACAATATATAGGTACTTAGGACCCCCAGACCCCCATTTGGAAGTATAGGAATAAGTTTAGGTTAAATATTAGTATAGGGCAATCAACATGAACATAATCTAAGATCAATGCTGCCGTCGAAATATTTAGGAATGTACTAAATTTACTAAACTAAATTCAGGTTCTAGCTATAAACAGTTTAAACAAGTGCATGCTGGAAACATGCCTTTATTACGAGCGGAACTAGTAAATTAAGGGTACAATAATACAATATAAAATTACCCTTTATTTCTTGAAGATTTTTGACAGATACGGATTATAGTACACCAATTTTTTAAATATAAAAATCTGTGGCTATTTGCCAAAAGTTGATATGTCAAAAATCATGGTTTTAAACACTAAACATGATATATTAAATTACCTCATTTTAATATTTGCCAAAAGTTGATAAGTCGACATATCAAGTTTTGTCACCATCAGATTTAAAATGTGGAGGGATGTTTTATAGACATATCAAGTTTTGGTTACCAGCTGACCACAACATAACCTAACTTTATTGTTGTGCATTTTACTAAATTAAGGTGGTACTTTGGTTGTCTTAAGAAAACTATTAGTAAAAGTATGTCGCGTGGAAAGCTGTTAGTTGATATGGTTATTAGCCAACATGAAGATTCGGCGGTTTTAGTAAATTTCGAAGAAACAGTATTACAGACTGAAAGTGAGGACTTTAAAAATCAGTGGGAAGTGATATAAGAGGATTGAAAAGGTGTTTAGTTGATGCCGAAATTAAAGAAATAAGTTCAACTTCTGCATCCACTGGCCATTCTGAAGAATTAGTGTCATATTTGAATAGTGATAAAATCAGATGTAGATGAAGATTATATTCCTTCGGACACTTCATCTGACACAAGTGACAATGAGAGGCCAGGTAAATATCAAGCAGTGCCATCTAAAAAGTGTGAAACAACAGCCACTTCCAGTAATAATACGGATGATATAGTAAGTAATGATACTTTTACAAACAAAAGTGACGATGGCAAAGACCAAATAAATAGCTCTAATGTTCAACCTAAAAAACCTAAATATAACAGAATAGAAATGAAAGAAAAGAAGATGTTAAGAGAAGAACATATTACAAGAAAAGGTATACAAAAACCTGCAAAAGTATTTCAAGCGCTTACTAGTTGCTGTCACAATAAATGTCATGAGAAACTCTCCATAGATGAACAAAAAGAAATTCTTTATGATTTTCTTAAAAAAGTGCAAGACAAAGACCAAGTAATTTCTGAAAGAGTGAAGATTGAGTCAAAGAAGACAGAAAGAAAAGATAAAGGAGAACGAGGAAATACTAAAAACAGACAAATTGTGGCTTCCTATTATATTACATATAACGACAAAACGTCAAAAGTTTGCAAATACATGTTCCAGAATCTACATGGTATCACAAGAGGAAAAATTGATATTTTGATAAAAAAAAAACAAATATCACCCACGGGTTTTATAGAACCTAATGGACCTGGAAAACGCCAACTACATAACACTCGACCAGACGAAAAAGCTGAAACTATAAAACACATAGAGTCTTTTCCAAAATATGAGAGTCACTATTCTCGAAGACACACAAGTCGACTCTATTTAGCTCCCAATTTAAATATTAAACTTATGTATGATCTTTATGTATCAAACAAATCAATGCCTGTATCATATTCATTTTATGCTAAGATTTTTAAAGAACTTGGATATAAATTTAAAAATCCTAGTATCGATACATGTAAGACTTGTGATTATCTAGAAAACAAGAAAAAATCCTCTAATAGTGAAGAAATATGTGCAGCCGTAGATGAAGAAAAAAATAAACACCCTCAGCTAGCAGAGATTGCCTATGGTGAAAAAAAAGCAGATATAGAGTTCTCCAGAAACAGTAGTGGTAAAATGGTTGTTTTAGTATTTGACTTACAACAGAACCTACCAACACCCAATTTAAGCACAAATGTAGTCTACTATAAAAGAGTGCTCTGGACATATAACCTCACCATCAGAAATTGCACTGAAAATACCACTTCATGTTTTATGTGGCATGAGGGGTTGTCAGACCGTGGATCAGATCAAGTTGCTTCTTGTCTTTTAAAATACCTTGACAGCTTAGTTGATACAGTTGAAAAAGTTGTTCTATATTCGGATTCTTGTCCCGGACAAAACAAAAATAACATTGTTGTAGGAGCACTGTCTTTATTTGTTTATAGATCAACAACCATAAATGAAATACAACACAAGTTTCTAGAAGTGGGTCATACTAGAATGGAATGTGATGCCGACCATGCAAGAATTGAGCGTGCCAAAAAATTGTCACAAATTGAAATAAGGGATACCTCATGACTGGTACCAGTTTGTTAGAACTGTCCCTGGTAAGAAGAAGTTCCAGGTTATCGAAATGCAGAGGAAAGAATAGCGTATTCAAAACTTTTCCATAACATCTATGTAAAGCATAAAGGTGTGGATAATGAAAATGTGAAATGGCATGATATAAAAGTTCTACGTTTTGGTAAAGAGTTGGGTGTTATAGACATTAAATATGCACATAAAGGTCTTGACATTTCTACCCTTAATATTAAACGCAGAGGGCAGCAGATGGATCCTACATTAGAACCTGTTTATAGTGGACCTAAATCCATAAAACATCAAAAAAAGGAAGACTTGCTTTTCCTGCTGCAATACCTTGATCCAGTGTACCATCCATTTTACCACGGACTCAAGACTAGTGAGAATGTAAATGATGGAATTTAATGTTTTATTTTTAAATGATAAACATTGCTTTTTATGTAGATTGATAACAGTGAACAATAAAAATAATTTTGCTAATTGTTATTACTCATTTCAAAGAGATTTATACTGAAGTTTAAATTTAGATATTCAATAAATTGGTGAATTTTACATTATTTTATAAATTGATTAAAAGTAACCATCTTTATTAAATATCAAGTTTTAATTTCAGTATAAATTTCTTCACTTTCTACTTTGTAATTATGATATTCATGTATTTTATATACTTCACTTTGACATGATATGTCTATATATGCCATCTAAGATATTTGCCAAAACATGATATGTTAGTAAAATCATTTTTCACAATAGAATTTCCAAAATTAATGTACACTGTTAGTTTAAGCAGCATTTTATTTATTTATATACGAAATTTCATAAAAATCTAATAAAATTTGAGCGAGTAAAAAATAAAAACAAATTGTCATGAGGTTATATATTTTTAATTTCGCTCTACTGAAAACTTGTTCTATTTGACATATCAAGTTTTGGCAAATAGCCACAGAAATGATTTACAAGATCCAGAACTATTAAACAACATAAAGTTTTAAAAATAAGTTTGCAGTATTGTTTCTAGTTTTGGACCTGTATAATCGGAATTCCAATCATACACATACAATCTTTCTTTATATAAATTTAATATCTAGATTATCTATTTTTGTTGGGAATATGCCACAATTTAAGTTTAAAATAAGTTTATTTCTGAAGTTTCGATTTATGAAATGAAAATCTGCTGAGCAAAATACTTTACTGATATCTATGACCAATTATGCCTTAATTATTATTGCAATTCATTTTTTCTTATACTCAAATAGGTATTTATTTCATAGTTGGTTTGTATTTTAGATTATCTCCAAGATGAACACAAATTGGAAATATTGGAAACACTAATTGAAGATTCATCTTACGAAGGAAATTATACAGGAACTTTGAGAGTGCACTCTGGAGAAAAATCTTACAAGTGTGAAATTTGTTTAAAACAGTTTCGTCAAGCAGGTAATTTGAAAACACATTTGAGAGTGCACACTGGAGAAAAATGTTATAAGTGTGACATTTGTTTTAAGCAATTTTCTCAAACGGGTTCTTTGAAAACACATTTGAGAGTGCACACTGGAGAAAAACGTTACAAGTGTGAAATTTGTTTAAAGCAGTTTAGTGAAGCAGGTAATTTGAAAAGGCATTTGAGAGTGCACAATAAAGAAAAATCTTACCAGTGTGAAATTTGTTTAAAACAGTTTAGTGAAGCAGATTATTTGAAAACACATTTGGGACTGCACAATGGAGAAAAAGCTTACACTTGTGAAATTTGTTTTAAGCAATTTAATCAAACATGTAATTTGAAAAGACATTGGAAAGTGCACACTGGAGAAAAATCTTACAAGTGTGAAATTTGTTTTAAGCAATTTTCTCATTCAGGTTCTTTGAAAACACATTTGAGAGTGCACACTGGAGAAAAGTCATACGAGTGTGAAATTTGTTTTAAGCAATTTTCTCATTCAGGTTCTTTGAAATCACATTTTAGAGTACACACTGGGGAAAAATCTTACCAGTGCGAAATTTGTTTAAAACAGTTTAGTGAAATAGGTAATTTGAAAAGACATTTGAGAGTGCACACTGGAGAAAAATCTTACAAGTGTGAAATTTGTTTTAAGCAATTTTCTCAAACAGGTTCTTTGAAAACACATTTGAGAGTGCACACTGGAGAAAAATCTTACAAGTGTGAAATTTGTTTAAAACAGTTTAGTGAAGCAGGTAATTTGAAAAGGCATTTGAGAGTTCACACTCGAGAAAAATCATACAAGTGTGAAATTTGTTTTAAGCAATTTAGTCTAGCACAACATTTGAAAACTCATTTGAGACTGCACAATGGAAAAGAATCTTACAAGTGTGAAATTTGTTTTAAGCAATTTAGACAAGTGATTCGTTTGAAGAAACATTTGAGAGTACACAATGGAGAATAACCTTACAAGTGTGAAATTTTGTTGTAAACAATTCGATCAAACAGGTAATTTGAAAACACATTTGAGATTGCACACTGGAGAAAAGTCTTACAAATGTGACATTTGTTTTTAAGCAGTTTTCTTCCTAAGTATTTAATATAAAACTTCAAATGAGATTACACACTAAAGAAATTTCTTTTAAATAATTTGATGTAGAGTATGACTTAAACAACAAACAAGAATGCTAACCTTGCAGTTC